GACCATCTCGGTCCTGGTCTACACCCTCAGCCTCTCACACCAGAGAGACCATCTCGGTCCTGGTCTACACCCTCAGCCTCTCACACCAGAGAGACGTTGCGGTACTTACATATGTATGGCCAAGAGTGTGCGCCTGGGGTTGTGCTGAGAAATTCCGCTCGGCCCTCCTGCTCCAAGACGTGAAACATGGTGACCACGGAACTCCCTTGAGTCCCGCCCTCTCCCCAGGCGTCCCTGAAGCCCCATGGTGGCGACTTCGAGGCCCGGTGTGATGAGGAGACACTGTGCTCCTGTGCTCAGGAACGTGTGGCCAGTGGCGGTTGGGGGCAGGCAGCTCGGTCTCCGCGGCACCGCACACCTTCCTCTGCGCCTGCCGCCCAGGCGTGTGACCGCATGTGGGCCGGGTTCTGCCTTTTCCCCTCCCTCCCTGGAGGAGCTGCTCTCCGATGCCAGGGGTGGCAGGGCCACTTCTAGGCCTCTGGCTGGGCCTGGTGACTGGGCCTGACTGAGCCAAGTGTGGCCTGCGTCCTGGATGTTGGGAATCACCATGTGTTGTCTGAGGTCCATTCGGGGAAGGGTGCTAGGGAAGGAGCATCAGAGTGGGACTGTCTAGCTGCTAAGCCTGTGTCCTGCTGTTCACATGCTGTCAGGCGCAGCCCCGTGCCTCAGTTTACCTGTCTGAGAAGGAAGTGCCTTAGGCCAGAATATATGGAAACTTCTTGGACTGTTAACTTGAACCCTGTGAAATTGTCTTTTGTGTAGATAAAAAGAGTTGAATAGATGAGTGTGGTGGTACATGGCTATAATCCCCGCATTTGGAAGGCTGAGGCAGGAGGATCTTGATTTTTGAAGCCAGCTTTGCCACATAAAGAGACCTTGTTTCAGAAGCAAATAAACCAACCCTTGAGTCCCAGCTGTCCTGATGCAGGGAGGCCACGTGGGCAACACATGTGGCCTCCATTGCCCAACAAGATGACACACAGTGAAGTGTGATGGTGCGGGTTGCTCCTGTGTCCTGGGGCCTGGGGCTGTCCTGTTTCATCCTTGCTGGGGGCGGGTAAGGGCCTGCCCAGGGCACACGCCTGGCACAGGCTGGCCTCCTTGGGGGCATCATATCCGCCTGGCTGAGTAGAGGTGTCCCAACTCCCTTGGGCTCATCCTCCCCCCATGGCGCCACCCTGATGACCGTTCACCCCCAGCCCAGGACCCGGGCATCTCCCCTAGCCAGAGCCTGTGCGCGGAGAGCTCCAGAGGCCTTGGCGCAGGGCCCTTACCAGAGAGCGCGGTGGGGCCGGTGGAGGCCTGCTGCCTGGTCATCCTGGCCACGGAGAGCAAGGTGAGACAGCTCCCCCAGGCCTGCAGCCCTGCCCACCCCCTGCCACCCTCGGGCCTGTCCCTGAGTGCCCAGCAGAGTCCACTCACTGTTCTCCTCTCAGGCTGCCCTGCACCGAAGGGCAGTAGGAACCCTATACTCAAGGCCTGCCCGCTGTCTAGGGTGGGAGGCAGAGGTGGCTGTGGGTTACAGGTTTGATTCCCCTTGGGCCTTGGGGAGCTGGCTGACACCTGTCCCTGTGCCAGCTACATCTGTGACACAGAATGGTGGCGACTGCCTTACATGGCCTTGGGCTCTGCAGCCTCGGTGGAGTCCACACTTGAGCCACTCAGTTCTTCACTGGAAGGCTCCCTTGGGCATCGAGGCAGCCAAGTAGCTTCCAGTTCTCCTTGCTGACACACGAGGATGTCCTTACATGTGACCACATGTCCCCGGGTGGACAGGCAGAATCACCCCAGGAGAAAAGCCCTGCTCTGAACAGTACCACTTCCCAGGATGTCCCCTTGCTGAGTTGGGTGTGAGCTAGGTGGGGTGGGTGGCAACGAGTGCCCTTGTCCAGTATGATCCCTGGGCACCTGGGAGGCCCTTGGCTCCGTCCCTCCTAGGGAGGCCCAGGTGGTTTTCTGCCTCTTCACCTGTCCCCGCCATCTACTCCGAAACAGTAGCTGTCACTGTCCACCCCTCCAGGTGGCCGCAGAAGAGCTGTGCTCCCTGCTCGGCCAGGTCTTCCAGATTGTTTACACGGAGTCCACCATCGACTTTCTGGACCGAGCCATCTTCGATGGGGCCTCCACACCGACCCACCACCTGTCCCTGCATAGCGGTGAGTGAGGTGCCCAGCAATGAGAGGGGTGCCGTGAGGTTGGCTACTGTGAGCTGAGGGTCCTTCCAGGATGCTGGTGAGGCTGGGCATGGTGTCACAGAGCTCCTGAGACCTGGTCCTGTGTAGGCCCCATGGCTGGCACCTGCAGCCCCTCAGGTTCCACAAGGTGGTGTTAGAGTCCCTAACCAGCACCTGTCCCCCTCCTCAGCATCCCAGGGAGGATGCAGGGTCCTTCCCCATTGCCCCATTTGTCTTTCTCGCCCTGTCCCCCACAGCTTCTTCCAGCTGCCTATGCAGTTTGGGTCTCTGGAGAGGACCTGCAGTCTGGTCACATGGACAAAGGTGTCCCTTGCTGGGCTTTACCCAGGCTGCAGCTCTGCCAGGCCCTTTGCCAGGGTCCATGGGCCTTGGGCTGTGTCCAGGTCCGGGTAGGACTGTCCAAGCCTGTGACCTGGGATGGGCGACAGAGCCTGTCTGGCTTGGTTTTACGCACACTCAGCGCCCCGAAGGCGGCTGAGTACGAGTCCCTCGTGGGCTCTGGCTGGGAGCGCCGTCCTCCACACAGTGCGCCTGGAGCTGGCTGTGTCTTGAGGGCTGTGTCAGGCCACATGGGTCAGTGCCCGGCCTGAGAGGAGCGTTTGTCTCTCACGTCTCCCCCACAGATGACTCTTCCACAAAAGTGGACCTGAAGGAGGCCTACGACGCGGAGGCCAGCACCTTGTGAGTGTGCCCGTGCTCACCGCATGTGCCCGCCCTGCCCAGCTGTCTTTCGTGGCCTCAGACTGACCTTGTGCATGGCCTTCGAGTGGTGTTGTCCCCCCAGCCTCCCTGTGGCAGACCAGCCACACTTCTGTCACCCACTGTGTCCCTTCTGCTCTGGGCACCACACTGGGCTGTGGACCCTCTGCCTTTGCCTGTGACAGTCGCCTCCTTGGGGGCCCAGGGTGGGGTGGGGCCGTCTCTCTCTTGCCCTCATCACCACTGTCCTCACCACTCTCCAGCCGGGCCACACACACCTTGTCCTTTTGCAGCGGCTTCCCCGACTGCGCAGACGCGGGTGGGCTGCCGCCGCTGTCCTGCATGCAGGCGTCGCCGCACGGCAAGGCAGCCAGCGAGAGTGAGCTGAGCACCAGTGCAGCCGAGCTGCTGCAGGACTACATGCTCACGGTACGCACAGCCTGGGCCTGCTGGGGCGTTGGCGCCCACCCCACCCTGCCGCCCAGCCTGGGCTTTAGCTGGGCCCCCTTTGCCTTGCTGTCCACAGCTGCGCACCAAGCTGTCCTCACAGGAGATCCAGCAGTTCGCGGCACTGCTGCACGAATACCGTACCGGGGCCTCCATCCACGAGTTCTGCATCAGCCTGCGGCAGCTCTATGGGGACAGCCGCAAGTTCCTCCTGCTTGGTGAGGGCCCAGTGGGGGTGAGGGTGAGGGCGTCTGCCACTCGGCAGACGGTGCTGGAGAAGAGTGGAGAGGCTCTTCAGGGAGGTGACACTTGAGTGGGTTCTGCTGCATGCATAGGAGTTTACTGAGGGAAGAGGTAGAGACGCTATTGCAGGTGGAAGGATCAGCCTCCGCCAAGACCCTGGAGGAGCTAAGTACCACGAGCACTGTAGGTCAGTGGCTGCTGGCTGACAGGCTGGAGTGGCAGCCCTGCCACCAGTGCCTGGGGTGGGAGCCTGCAGCCCTGCTTCTCAGGAGACAGCAACCCCACTGTGGTTTTTTTTGTTGTTGTTTGTTTGTTTTCCCTTCTGCCTGCGCTCAGGACAGTGAGTCAGCAAAAGTCACTCGAGGGCTGCTAGGTCCTGGGCCTGTGTCCCAGGGAAGCAGGGTGTGGGTATATCCTCCCACTACCTTTTCTGAGTTAGCAGGGCCTTTGCACTGAGCCACATCTCCATTTGTTGAGTTGTCCAGGTAAGACTTGAATCTGTGATCCCCCTGCTCCAACCTCCCAGAGTGTGGGGGTGGCAGGCCTGTGCCAGGTGTTAGCCACCTGCTCCTGGTGAGATGAAGAGGAGGCAGCCAGGCCGCTACCCCAGGCCTCCCTGATCTGCTCCTCGTAGGACATGGCCTTAGAGGCCACAGCCTGTGGCTTCCTGCCTTGCCCTCCAGCAGGCACCAGTTTCTAAAGAGTTGGTGACAGAGAGCTAAGCTTAGGCTTGCTGCTGCTGCACTGTCTGCAGGCCCTGCCCGTCACAAGGAGCCCTGGCTCTGGGCGTGGGGCTTGGCCACTCCCCATTCCCACTCTGCCCAGGACCAGGCAGTAAGATTTGGAAGTCCCAAGAGGCCCAGGGCCTCTCCATTGAGGTGGTCGCCCTGGGCCGCTTGCCGGTGTCGGTCTAAGGCCTGGCTCGGGACAGCAGCTCATTGCCAAGGACACCAGTATGTGTGCTGCCTTCTCTGGACATTGCCTTTCCTGCCCGTAAGATGCGGACTCCAAGGATGGAAAAATGGGAGGTCACCTCGGTGACAGCGAGCCATGCGGGCTGAGTCTTAGGACGCGGCTGTGCACTGTCTGGGTCCTCCCTGAGAGCAGTAGGGCCTGCCTGGGCCCTGAGCTGTGTTGGTGCTGGGTCTGTCACAGGTCTGCGGCCCTTCATCCCCGAGAAGGACAGCCAGCACTTTGAGAACTTCCTGGAGACCATCGGCGTGAAGGATGGCCGCGGCATCATCACCGACAGCTTCGGCAGGCACCGGCGGGCGCAGAGCACCACCTCCACTTCCACGGCCAACGGGAGCAGGGCCACGGGCAGCCCCGATGACCGCTCCGGGCCCTCCGAGGGGGATGAGTGGGACCGCATGATATCGGACATCAGCAGTGACATCGAGGCACTGGGCTGCAGCATGGACCAGGACTCAGCATGACAAGCGTTGCGGGAGCACCACACCCTCGCAAGGCCTTGCAGGCCACCCCGGAGGAGGCGCTGGCCCTGCTGTGGGCCTCTGGCACCAGCACAGGCTGCTGGCGGCAGTGGGTCCTCTACTGTGAAGGGGCATGGAGCCGCCACAGGACGCATCCTGGTGCAGGGCAGAGGCTCCATGCTCATCCCAGGCCTAATGGGGCCTGCGCTGGCCCTGTGTGGGGAGGCCAGGCCCAGCCACGCTGGCAGGAAAGCCAGGCTTGTGGCTGGGCCGAGAGAGTTGTCAGTTTTGCACATGACGTTCCTCATGTCACTCTCAGAGACCTTAAAGAAGTTTACTGCAATGTGAATAATTTAATCTCCCATTGCCGGGCTTTTTTCTGATCCATCTGGATGAAAGCCCTGTTGTTAGGAGGGTTGTCACTCTGGCCTCTGGTCTTGGGGCCGCGAATCTTACTACCGTCCTGGGATAGGGACACAGGGCAAGTGCTCTAGGCCTTAGGGTCATAGGCGGGGGCAGGAGGTGACTGGGATACCTTTGTGTTCTGTCCTGGTACCGATTCCCACAGGGACCCTGGCTTGCTGTGGTCTTCGCCTGGGTCCTCTGATGACAGAAGCCTCCTGCAAGGCTTTGTGGTCTTGGCTCAGGACTGGGGGCTTCAGAGAAGCTGGCATGGGCCCTGCCTTGCCCCAGGCCCAGTCTGTCCCCATCTCTAGTCAGCCCTGAGGTGTCCTTATGGCCTCTGTCCCCTGGGCCCTTGCCAACCTTCGCAGGACATGGAGAGGGGACCTGGGTCGGGGTGCACCGGGCCCCTTCCTGCACACGTGGCTCTGTTGTGACCCCTGGGTGCACTGAGCAGGCTCCTGGCCAACCTAACCCTCTCACCTGTGCTGGGCAGCCATGCCCCCTGGGGAGAGGAATACCACCATACATTCGCACAGGGGCCCTGAGCAAAGCGGGGAGGTCTGTGGTGTCATAGCCCAGCACAGGGCCCTGGGCCATGGCTTTGTATGCTGAGATAGGATCTGGCTGTGTAGTTCAAGCAGGCTTTGAACTTAACTATGTATCTCATGCTGGTCTTGAACTTGCAACAGTCCTTCCTCAGCCTCCCAAGAGCTGAGATTAGAAGTATGGACCAAGTTTTACAGAGATTTCCTTGTTGTGGGCTATCCCCTCAGGCTGAAGCTGCCCCAGGTACCCGAGGGCCTCAGCAGAGGAGAAGACAAGTCATAGACTGTCCCCAGGCCCAGTCCAGTAGGTTCCAGGGCCACATGGATGGAACATGGCCTCGGCGCCATCTCTGGCCACAGGGCCACATGCCTAACCCGCGGCGTGGCCCACATGCCAATGCTCAGTGCTCACCGGCTGCCAGCAGGAAAAGAGGATGTGGGGGAGATGGGCACTTGTAGGGGGGTCCAGGGACAGTGGCACGGCGAGAGACGGGAGACAAGCAGATACCAGGAATGTAAGGGCACACCAGAGAGCTGATGCTGAAGCAGGAGACAAGGGAACCCCGATGATGATGAGGGGGTCAGCAGGGTGACACAGGGACACCTTGGGGAAAAGGGCAGCAGAGTCACACACGGATATCAGTGATGCCGGGGCTACAGGGTGAGCAGATGTCCCCAGAGTGAAGAAAGGGAACCAGGGCCTTCGGGGGACACTGAGGACGGGTGACCCAGTGTAGTCAGGACACTGATTTATTGGGCAGCAGCACTGGGGAGGGCAGGGCAGACCCGGCTCAGGCAGCGGCTACATTGTCAGCTCCTGCAGAGATAGCGAGAGCACAGGGTCACACCGGAGGCCAGCACACCCCATGGCAGGTCCTCTTGGGGAGCCCAGGGGGTCGGGGAGCCAGAGTGGGGCCCGCGCCTCTCACCATGATGGCATTGACGATGTCACTGTGGTTGTCCCTCAGTGCCCGCACAGCCTTGGCCCTGGACACGTTGGCCTGGGCCATCACCAGCTCAATGTCACGCAGCTCCAGCCCTGACTCGTCCACCTGTGGGGAGGGGGTGGGGGTGTCAGAGGGGCCAAGGCAGCCCCCCACCCCGAGGGGCCCCAGGGCCCAGGGTCTCACCTCCTCCTCTTCTTCCTCCTCCTCGCACTCTGTCCTCAGCTGGGGTCCAGGTGCCGACTCGGGGATCAGGGCCAGGGACTCTGAGGGTACCTTGAACTTCTCTGCTGCAGCTTTGTGCACTTGCTGGGACAGGTCCTCTATCTGCAGCATGGGATGACTGTGTATCAGCAGGGCTCGCCGTGCACGCCCACTGGCCCCCACCCCACAGCCATGGCCACCACTGGGACGGACAGACCTTGGCCTCCCCAAAGACCACATAGGTGTCAGAGGCAGGGCTCTTGAAGACATCAGGCTTAGCAATCACGAAGAGGATGTTCTTGGACTTCTGGATGGTGATCCTCGTGACGCCCTGAATCTGCCGCAGGCCCAGCTTGGACATGGCCTGAGACAGAGGACCTGGCTTGGGGAGGACATCCCCACGACCTTGGACCCTATGCCTTGGACCTTTACTGTCTAGGGGACAGGGTGTGGGTCCCCAGCTGGTCCTAGAGTCCCGTCAGAGGGGATCTCACCAGCTTGGGTCTACTTCAGGACATCCCGGGTGGTGCTCCCTGTCCTAGGGCCCCTGGTGCTCCACTTGCCTTTCGAGCCTTCTTCTCACTGCGGCTCTGCTTGGCTTTGGCGATGGTTTCCTCGCTGCTGCCTGTCGGAGCCTGTGGGGAGGGAGGCTCTGAGCTCCTGGGGGGCCACAGGGCCACCCCGAGGCCACCCTCCCCCCGGACACATCACCTGGGCTGGGCGCTGCATGTGAGGGGCTGCAGTGTCCTCATCCAGCTCGGCTGATGACTCCCCGTGGCTGTCCGATTGCTGGCCAGAGCCCAGGGCCCTTGGGGAGTCTGGGGAGGGGACAGGCGTGAGGCCGCACAGGCCGGGTGAGCAGCCCAGGACGGCAGCCCCCACGAGGAGCCCAGCAGCTGGGCTGCCCCTCACCTTCCTCCAGGCTGTCCGCCTCGCCTTGCTGCTCAGAAGCTGGGAGCCCAAGAGGCCCGTGTGGGCTGCGGGACCCCAAGGAAGGAGGCACTTGGCAGGGGGGCGAGGTCCGTGAGGCTGGCTCTTTGGCATCTGGGGGAGCCGCCTTGGGGCTGAGGGGGGCTGGTTGGGTTGCCAGGCTGAAGCGCTGCCCGGCTCCCCGAGGCTGTGTGGTTCCTGAGGCAGCAGTGGTCCGCTGGGCTCCCACTCGAGGTGGTGGGGGTCCCCGAGAGACCAGGGGCTCCTCCTCCACAGAATCTTCCCGGGGACTGCGGCGTGGGCGAGAGGCACCAGGAGCAGAAGGGTTGGGGTCCAGGAGCCTGGTGTGGGATGCACTGGGCGGGCCCCGGGCCAGAGGTCTGGGGAGTGGTGGGGTGGCTGGGGCCTGCTGGCCATTGCCCGGTGCAGGTGAGCTGGGCTCTCTGGGGCTGTCCCCATCCAGCCTGGACACAGCCCCGGCTGGGGCCCCTGGGCAGGAGCTGTGCTGGGCCCCAGCAGCCAGAGCCGGGGTGCCCTTGCTGCCCAGGGCCCTGCCTTCTCTGCCTGGGCTTGAGGGCTGTGCCCAGCCGACCTTGGGGCAGGCGGTGTGAAGGGCCTTGGGAGCTGCCCTTGCTCCTCGGGGCACTGACTTAGGTCCGTGTCCCTGTGTCAGTGGCTTGGGACCCCTGTCCCTCTGGTTCTTAGGCCCAGGGGCCACCCCTGGGGGCAAGCCGGTCTCAGCCCCTTTGCCCATTGGTGCCTGGGGTTCTGGACATGTTTCCGGCTCTGCAGGAAGCAGGCCCAGGGCTCCTTCCTCCCCCAGACTATGGGCAGCCTTAGGGGGGCGGGGGGCCTCCTCATCTAGGATGGGCCCTGCTTCTCGCCCTCGGGGTGCAAATGACACAGCCTCTGCCTCTGGCTTGAGGCCACCCTGTGGGACCGGGTTCAAGGGCACAGGCTCTGGGTCACCAGGGGGCACTGTGACCCACTCCTTAGGCACAGGTTTTGGACCTGAGGCCACACCTAATTCCACACTCTTGCTCCCTGCAGTGCAGCCTACTTCAGTCTTTAGGGCCACTGGTGTGGCCACAGCCACAGACTCTGGGCCCAAGGTAGAATCTCCATCTAGCAGAAGTGGAGAAGGTTCCAGAAGGTCCTGGGGTAGTAGGGTGCCCTGTTTGGCCTGCAGAGGGCCTGGAATGGCTGCAGCCATGTTGTTTGGGCCCAAGTCAGGATTTTTGTCTTCCAGGGGTAGAGGAGCTTCAGGAGAGTTCTGGGGTAACGGCACACCACCTTCAGCCTCCTGGGACCCTGGCATGACCACAGCCATGGCCACGGGGCTTGAGATGGGATCTTTATCTTGCAGAGACGGAGGTGGAGACTTGGAAAAGTCCTGGGATAACAGGACACCCCCTTCAGCCTGCAGGGGCCCCAGCACAGCCACAGCCATAGATTCATGTCCCGAGGTAGGATCTTCATCCAGTGGAGGGGGAAGCTCTGTCTCAGGAGAGTCCTGGAGTAACGGCATGCCCCCTCCAACCTGCAGTGGCCCTGGTGTGGCTTTAGCCAAGGACTCAGGGCCTGAGGTGGGATCTACATCTTGAAGAGATGGATGTGAAGACTCCAGAGAGTCCTGGGGTGATGAGACGCCCCCTCGAGCCTCCTGGGACTCCAGAATGGCTGCAGCCATGGACTCTGGGCCCAAGATGGGATCTTTGTCCAGCAAGGATGGAAGTGCAGACTCAAGAGAGTCCTGGAGTAACAGGACACCCCTTTTAGCCTGCAGGGGCCCCGGCATGGCCAAAGCCATGGACTCGTGACCTGAGGTAGGATCTTCATCCAGCAGAGATGAAAGCTCTGTCTCAGGAGGCTCCGGGAGTAATGGGGTGCACCCTTCAGCCTCCTGGGACTCCAGGCCTGAGATGGGCTCTTCCTTCAGCAGTGGTGGAAGTGCAGACTCAGGAGAGACCTGGGGTAATGGGGCGCCCCATTGAGCCTGCAGGGGCCCCAGCATGGTCGCAGCCACAGACTCCAGGCCTGAGATGGGCTCTTCCTTCAGCAGTGGCAGAAGTGCAGACTCAGGAGAGTCCTGGGGTAATGGGGCGCCCCCTTGAGCCTGCAGGGGCCCCAGCATGGTCGCAGCCACAGACTCCAGGCCTGAGATGGGATC